CAGTCCCCAGAAGGATGACATTTTGGGCGGATCACTTTCTGGGGGTAATAATTCCTTCCAAAAAAATAAATTGGTCACTTCAGTCCATGACTGTTTGTGGGACACTGCTGTGTGTAATTGGCTGCCGTGTTTCACCCACAAAATATACAGTCAATTCACTTTACAGCAGATTCTTTGAAGCGCTTTGAGGCATCTCGAAGACGTGATAAGGTGTTATATCAAATGCAAGGATTACTATTATTAGTACTATCCTGGGAAGCGTTTTGAGATGCTCTCCTGACATGAAAGGTGCTATACCAAATGGGGCTCCTGTTTCCGACTGAATCATTTTTAAGGAATCTAGTTAGAAAGGCAATATAATTTACATTGATGCAGAATCTTTCACATTGGGAGGATGTCTCAAAGCACTTGACAATGCTGGCTAGAAGTAGTCACATTTTACACTCCATGGACTACATAGTACGATCGATGTGTTGTGTACAAATTTAAAGAGGTGGCCATTGCATGAGTATCAACTACTTCATATCCTGCTCTGACAGATTAGCTCATTTTATTATTATTAGCACATTTTTTCTATTGTTCACAGTGGGAACAGAAACTGGGTGTGTTATAAACTTCCTTTTGGGCACCAAGTTGATTTTTAAAAATGATTTAATGAAGGCAATAGTTTATACACAGCTGTCACAAAGTAAAACAATTCATAGTAAAATAATAACCATTGCATTTGATATAGTATCTTATCACACCTTATCAAAATGCTTCACGGGACGTACTGTAAATTGTAGTGATTGTGTGTATCATTACATCCTCCCAGTGTGAAAGGTGCTATGTTAATGTAAATTGTATTGTATTAGGTTAAACTGTATATATGATTAACAATTAAGTTAAGTAGTAATAAAAGTGGTGAAGTCAATTTTGTGTAGTGATTGTGCACAGCCAATTTATCTGGGGGATTGTTGGCCAGGACACGAGGAGACTCACTCACATATAATAAATATGCTAAGCAATTCAGAATCCTGATGACCATGGGATATTTACTTTAGTATCAGGCAATTCTCATCTAGCCAGCAAATGAAATATAACAACTCATAAAAAATGTATGAGCTCATCTAATTGCCTAATGGGTAAAGAAAGGTGTTGCCAAGTGCTAGAGAAATCAAACACTGCATGAAGCGATCTCAATTGGAGCGCTGTTCAATTGACCTCAATGCCTGTAAATGAGCTAGGTAAAAATCACCCAGCGTTTCTGCTCCTATTTGCTTACGTAGACACCAAAATTGCTTCACCTTAGACTATACTGGAAATAATGGTCACAATTTTATGAATTGAAAGCAATAGTTTTAAACAAATTTCTATTCTGAATTACTGTTGTTAAAATATTTAGAGAACATCTTGGTGGTATAGCTAGAGGTTGCAATATATTTTGGGAAGTACTGTTGTCAGAAAGAACTGCCAAAGACAAAGACATTAATTGAGCATTTTATGAGATGATGCAAAGAATAAATAGAATGAGATGTGATGCAAAGACATAGACATTTTGCATTAAACCAAACTGGAAGAGGAAAGCAAATTTTTTATTTTTTATGTCTAAGCTGACAATCCAGTTCGATGCTCGGGAAACATTACATTGTTAGAAGTGCCTCCTTTCAGCCATTAAACCAGGATCTGCTGTTAAAGATCCCATGGCACTATTCAAAAGGAGAAGGCATTTTTCACAGTGTCCTGGCCAACAAATCCCCCAAAAATAATCATTCACCTTATGGCTGTTTGTGGGACATTGCTGTGCACAAATTGCCTGCCGCATGCGTCCACAGTCACACCACTTTACATTATATCTTGTGAATTGCTTTGTGATGTCCTCTTGATGTGAAAGGCGCTATACCAACGATTATTATAAAATTGATCGTTCACTTCATGGCTGTTTGTGGGATATGCTGTGTGCAAATTGGCTATCGTGTTCAGTTACCAATACACAGGCAATCCACTTTACAGCAAATCCTGTGAAACCGTGATAGGTGCCAAATCAAATGCAAGGCTTGTCAATATCAGGCTTCTGCATAAAAGAATGTTTCACTTTCATTGTATCAATGTGGTGGGTAGCTCATTCATTTGAAGTTGTGACTGTACACTTGTTTGAACACTAGTTCAAATTCACACAGATCTTCCTTCTTTTGAGGTTGATAAAATGAGCATCATATCTAAAATATTTTCCTAGGAAAAGGGGGTGGGGGGGTGGGGGGTTGCAAGATGAGGAGGCTGGAGGTAGATGGGTAGATTCCATGGAGAAATGCCTGATAAATGGCCTCTTCTGTGCTGTAAGATTCTATGATTTTAGATCTGTGGTACTCTAAGACATTATTGACTAATGACCAGCCAGACTCTTTCCTCAATGAGACATGCAAATGTTTGCTCATCCTCAAACCGACAAGACAGGGCTGCTCTAGCTGAATGAAAACAGTGCAGTGAATCTCACCAGGATTTTTAAATTACGTTGGGTTCTTCCTCGGAATGTAAAGGAGATAAAAGGGAAGAAGCCATGAAGCAACCTTCTCTTCAGGAAATTGCAGCTCCACTCCCATTATTTATGGTCTGCTCCCTGCTTCCTGACTTAGTGAAGAGCATCATCTGATCGATGGGATGTGTCGAAGTGGAACTCTGAAGGGACATGAAATTTAATAAAGGGGTTGGCGTTGTGGAACAAACTGCTGCTGCTGGACTGAGTTCATATGAAGGTAAACCTTGTATTAATGCTCATTTGTGGTCAGAAAGCCTGGTTTACCTACCCAGCAGTTTCACATCACTGTCACAATGAGCACTGTGATTCCAGATTGTTTTGTTTCTGACTATGCAAAAACATAGATTAATGCCAACTTTTTCAAAGAGTTAATCACCAAGTAGGTACAGTAAAAATTTTCACTGAAATAGTCACTTTGTTTTCACTCTCTTTCAGCCACGCAGTCTCTGTCATGCACAATCACTGCACAAAAAATCCATCACAAGTTCATTCATGTTTAGTGGTTACAACAATAATAATCCTTGAATTTGATATTGTGCCTTCCCGTGTCAGCAAAGTCTCAAAGAATTACGATAACAGTACAAACAGATGATTGAGGACATCAATGTGAGAGTGTTTTTGTTGTGCATTTATTAAATTACTCAATTACCTTAGATAAGACTCCCTATCAGCAGGCAAATTGAACCATTCTGCCCTGTTATCTGGAACTCTATCCCAGACTCTCTCTGACACAACTCCTACTTTCCCACATTCAAAGTCCACCTGATGACTTACCTCTCTGATCTCACTTTTGTTCATCTCTTTAATCCCCCTTCCCCCCACTACTCACCATTCCTGGCTTGGATATCAAGGCTAGTTATATAAAGCTCTTTCCGTCTTTCACAAGACGGAAGCCATACTCTTCGGCTCTCATCAATGTCTAAAATCTCATGGTTCTCACCTCCTCCACCTTCCCGACCTACCCCTAAAACTCTCCGAACCCATACGCAACCTATGCGTCAGGTTCGACCCCCAATTATCCTTCCTCCCCCACATCCAGTCCCTTACCAGCACCGCCTTTTTCCACCTCCGTCGCATCGCCAGTCTCCGCCAATACCTCTGCCCAATAGCCACTGAAACTCTGGTCCTTGCCTTTGTCACCTCTCGGCCAGACTACTCCAACGTCCTCCTCGCCGGTCTCCCCTCCATTACCATCCATAAAATCCAAATAATTCAAAACTCTGCCGCCTGCATTCTCACCCGCACGACACTCCGCTCCCCGATCACCCCAGTCCTTGCAGGACTGCACTGGCTGCCTATCCCAGAGAGGATCGACTTCAAGATCCTCACCCTCGTATTCAAGTCCCTGCACTCCTCTGCACCCCCTATCTCTCTAACCTCCTCTCTCCTCAAAACAGCACCCATTGCTTTGTTCCTCCAGGTCTGGCCTCCTCCTCGTCCCGAGTCCTCTGCTCCACCCCCTGCGGCCGTGCCTTCAGCTACTATGCCCCAAGGCTCTGGAACTGCCTTCCTCACTCCCTTCGTCTCGACCATTTTCAGGTCTCTGCTGAAGACCTTTCTTTTCGACCGTGCTCTTGGTCACCTTCCTCCCCCTCCCCCTGGCTCAGTCCCAGGATCCGAAACTGTAAAGAGCTCTGAGATGCCGTCAGGCGTGGAGGGCGCTATATAAATCCAAGTTGTTGTTGTTGTTGTTTGAGACATCCCCTGATGTGAAAGGCCTAAACATACATTGTTATTGTGCTGCGTGTTATACAACGCTTAGAACAGATGTTGTGATTGAAGTGGTAACCATTTTCCTGAAAGTTTTCCTTCAGATCGTAAAATTTTCATCTGACACAATGATCATTCTTCTTACCATACAATGACTGGATCAGTAAACCTCCTTACCTTTGATGGGCCTTAAACATTTTGTTCCTTTCAGTCCTTTTATGATGCAAACCAAAGCTTCTCGCAAATGAAGTATCATATTATCAGAGGCAGATGTAATGATTATTAAACACAGTAAAATCTGCCTGGGTCCTGATTTACTCTATTAAAGGGAGCATTTCAGATAGAGCAGAATTTGACAAATTGTTGAATTCAGTTTTAATCTTGAAGTTCTTTTAATGTCTTCCTTAAAATAAACCTTACAGGCAAAAAAAACTTCAAAATTAAAGACTTTAAGAATCAGACAAATTCTGGCCCTCTGAAATGCTACATTAATAAAGCAAACATTAGACCCGGGGACATTTCTACCCAACTCAGCACAGGGTGAGTTTCGACTGGAATGAAAACGTGCAGAGATGCACTGCAATATTTAAGTGCTTCAATTGCTTCTTGCAAAAAATCGTGAACATCAAATTGAAAGGAGGGGTGATAGGTTGGCCATCGGATCACCTCTCTGCACTATCTGGTTGGCTGTGGTTGGCAGCTTGGAGACGGAGGCGAGTAACTTAGCAACAGACAAGTAACTAAAGCCTGAAATTTACCAAGTGCCCCTGGACTGAGCAGCTCCTGCAGCAGCAAAGCACAGCACCTCGTCTCCTATCGCTGGATCCCGACAGTTCCTCCCCCACCAACATGCATCAGCCTCCGTACAAGCACATTTCCAAAAAGAAAAAGGTCCCCGGCTGCTTTTAGTAAGTACTGAACAGGAATGATCTCAGCCAGCAGTAACCCAACCAACTTGTGTGGTTTCACCAGCCACAGTCAAGCTGGAAACAATGTCTTCTCTGTGCTCTGTACTGGAGCCCAGTCTGAGCGGGGGCGACATCACACTCCAAGGACTTCTCGGGTTAACAAAACTGCCAGAAACTTATATTTTTAAACAACAGAAAAAATGAGATGAAGCACAGAGCATTCGCAGCTTATAACCTTTATATTCTTTAGCTGGACACGTGGGATGTATTTGGAGAACCAGTGAAATCCTAACTCTTCCTTGTGGTTTTATTTCATTGCAAACTAGTCAGAGGGAAGTTTTCAGCAAAATGTACCGTTAAAACCTCACATTTTTTTGGTTTATGCCACTTGATCATAGGCCTAGGAGATGAATTTCTTCGAATTCAAACAGGTTAGAAACTGAAAAGAATGGAAACATAGTAGCACAATATAATCTAAGGAACATTGGGTTTCTCAAAGAGCTTCACAGAATATATTGTAAAGTGAATTGACTGTATATTTTGTGGGCAAAACCCGGCAGCCAATTGCGCACAGCAGTGTCCCACAAACAGTCGTGGATTGAGTGACCAATTTCTTTTTTTAAGGAATTATTAACTCTGGGAAAAGCGATCTGCCAATCGACTAACAACCAGGTTCCTACTTACTGCTAGGTAAACAGAGGTGTGTGGAGTAAGGAAACTTGCCCAACATTTCTCCCTGCCCGGGAATAGAACTTAGGTTTCTCGCTTGCAACAGAGACCATTATTCATACAAAAATATAGGTGCTTTCCTTCATTGTATTTGACGTAGCACCTTTCACTTTGGGAAGACGTCTCAAAGAACTTAACAATATTCATTGTAAATTGTATTGACTGTCTTTTACGGGCAAATGCAGCACAGCAATGCCCCACAAACAGCCATGAAGTAAGTGACCTGGGCGGGACTATTGGCCAGGACACCAATCCCTCCTCTTTTTAATATAAACATCTCATGTGATATTTTATTCTCCTCCTGAAAGTGCTTTGTCCTTGGTATTTCCTTCATGGGCCTTCTTCCTGTGTAGATCTAGAGTCTAGACCGTGAGTCCTGGCAGGTTCCAAGATCATCAAAAACACTGGCTGATTTTCTCCCCCCACTTTGTAGTCCAGGGCATTAAGGTCAATTGCTGTGCTCCAGATGGGAACTAAACCCAACACAAGCCTGCATTTGAACCTGTGACCTTCTTGTCTGCATAGTTAGTGCAACATTGGATAGTGTCAAACAAGTATGTGTGCATTACCATTCCACAACCATTTCAATGCTGTCACACTGACAATAATGTTTTATCTAACTATTTCCACCTGAAGTTCCTTTTTGTAAGTACATGCAATATTAGCTATTAAATATACATTTTATATTCATAAGTCTGTTATTATATATATTTATATTAATATATGTAATGTACAAGCGTAATATAGCTCTGCTTAATATGGTTCATTGACAATTTATCACTATCACTACGCAACAGTACTTAATCCAAGTCCCAAAAGAGAAGCTATAGTTTGGTTGTTAGTGGAAGTATGAAAACAGTTTGATCGCCAACAATGGCACGTGCTTTTTCCTCCTATTGCTATCTCTTTGCATGATATTGGTACAAAATGTACAGTCACTGCACTTTACAGTAAATCCTGTAAAGCTCTTTTTTTTAAAAACACCTCCTAACATTAAAGTTGCTATATCAAATGAGAAGATTATTATTAGGTGTAAAGTACTTTATTAAGTTGATTCAGTTGCAAAAGTAGTTGGCTGGGTGGATTCTAGTTGTGGAGCACATGCTTCCTGCTGGTTAATGACATTGTTTTGTATGTCTAAGCGACTAATTGGTCTATTTCAGCCCAAACACTTTTCGAATATTCAGCGATGACGTTCAAGATGTTAGCATGGGCTTGGAGAGGATCAACCACGAATACACAATTGAATCATATGAACCCCACCCCCCACGTCCAAAATCACCAAATCGCCATAAGCCTCATCCATATTATGCAAAATTTATCAGAACAAATCCAAGGTTCATAAATGAGCCAATATCACACATGGAAACTGAGGCTGCATTGTTGAAGCAGGTGAGTGATTGACAACTCCATGATATTAAATTCTTCTATAATGTCATACAAGCCTTATAATAACCACTTTGGGTGTATTAATCATAGAAATTTAGAGTAGTACCTGTTTGATTAGTACTATCAAATGGGTAAAGGTCACAAGATCATGGAGGAAGAAGGCCTTTCTGATTCCCTCCAGAACACCCACCCTACCTCCCATCATAGCATCAAGCTCCTATCATAGCATCAAGCTGCTTTTTAAATAGGTCCAATGTCCTGGCCTCAACCACTCTTCCTGGCAAACTGTTCTGGTTGTTAATTAAGCACTTCAAGACACTACCCATGTAAAGATGTTGTTGTTAATTTCCTTCTGGGTGCAGTTGTCACATTTCAACTGCATCCAGAGATTAACAACAACAAAAGTAATGCTTTGAATCTCTTTTAATGAGATTTAATGCTTTAAACTCTTTCTTTAAAATCTCTACCTAACAGTAACTCACAATTCGAAAGCCTGCCAGGAACTGTTCTTTCATTAAGGCATGCTCACAACTCACATAAGCAGATCTTGGCTCTTAAGAACTAGAATTGCATCATTTCTGGGTAACCTGCCTTGTCAAGTAATGTACCTGTTATGGAATCTATCAATATGATCATTGTTAATTAAAACATCATGATATAGCCTCCAGCTATTCACCCAGTCTTTGATGGATGATGGAAATGCTTTGACCTGACACAGGATTTAGCCAATTCAACCAAACAGCAGCAGACCAGTCCCTGCAGACAAGAAAACAGGTGCCAAATACTATCGTCTCATTGCCAGCTGCTCCAGTGAGCTCTCTGTTTTGGCAAAAATATTTTCATATTTTACACTTCAGTCATGACATCGGTATTTGAGATCTCGGTTAAGTTTTGAACTGTGTGTTGCATGCCTTGTATTTGTTTGAGTTTTAAAATCATAAAACTATACAAATTTTGCAGTACATAATGAGGCAATTTGTGTCTGTGTTGGCTCTTTGTAAGAGCAATCCATTCAGTCCCATTTACCTACCTTCTCCCAACCCCATATCTCTGCAATTTATTCCTTTTTAGATACCCATCTAGTTCCATCTTGAATGCTAAAATGGATTCTGCCTCAGCCACTGCTTCCAACAGGGCATTCCACATCCTAATAACTATACAAGCTGATATTGATCCACCATAATCAACACAAATTGTTCTGTTCCCAGATAGGAATTATTCGATACTGCTAGTGCACACAATTTATTAGTTGATGTGAGTGAACTGGCGGCTTATATCTAGTATTTCTACTAGTTCAGAATTGACTGTGGCTCCCACCATCACCCAGTTTTTAATGAAGAAAGGAATATTAGCACCTCAAGTCACTCCACTGACAGCCTAGAGTCAACCTGAACGCCCTTTTGCACACCTCGCAAATCAGTGCCCAGCAAAATTGGTAGAGGCTGACAACTGGTTGTCTTGATAATCCAGGATCATATCGTTACATCCCACAGCAACTTGAAAAGGCACGTTACCCAAAAAGGATACAGGTCTAGCTCATAATAATCCATTAATGTAAATTGTGTGCTTGCCTTAAAATGTAATTTCACAGATTAAAAGAGCAATCCATTCAGTCCTGCTTCGAGGGAAGATTGGGAAGCTGGGAAATTTACACAGATTGAATCTACAAACCAGATTTGTGTGTCAGTCTGGCTCAATTGGTAGCATGCGTGCCTCTGAGGTGCCTCTGAGTCAGATGATTTTGGGTACAGGTTTCCTGAAAGTATTTGGAACTCATATAGTTTGTGCTTTCGCTTTAGTGCGGTGCTGGGGGCATGCTGCACTGTGGCTACAAAATATACAGTCGCTATTCTATGATATATGCAGTGAAATGCTTTGAGACATCCTCCTGAAATGAAAGGCACTGTATCAACTGCAAGGATTGCTATTAATATTACTTTGCAGTGCCATCCTTCGGATGAGAATGAAAGCCCGATGAAATCGGGGAGGGAGGGAGGGGGTCAGAAGGAAAGGGTAAAAGGACAAAAATCTGCATCAGGAGGGAAAGAATTGGTGGCGCTAATAGAATATACAAATTTCATTGGAAAAACGTAGAAACAGGAACTCTCACTAACAGAAAGCGACAGACCACTGGGGTATATCATAAAGAACAAAATAATGTCTGGAAGTGTGCTTAAGGGTGTAACTGACTCTCAGGAATGACTTAAGTTTGACAGATGTGGGTTTGTGATGTCATCTGAGGCCCTCAAGTGTGGTTACAGCCCTGAACGCCCAGAGTTTACATGATATACATACCCAGCGTCAGCTTTTACTGTAGATTACATGATATTTGAAAATGTCATATTGAAAGCGTAATCTGTTTGTGCAGTACTCTCTCTCTGCACTGAGCATTTTCTGCTTTTTTGACAAAAGTTGAGATCCCAGCACAAAAGAGTTTTTTTTAATCATTGCTCAGGCAAAGGAAAAGCTGTCACTTACTTAATCATATCAGAACATTTTATATTTATAATTTGAAGCGTGAAAGGGACCTTTTTAATCTCCCCAGATTAAAAAGGTCATTTACTTGATGCCTGTTTATGAGATATTCCTATGTGCGAATTGGCTATTGCATTCACTTAAAAAATACACTGGTACTAGATGCTATGTAAATCCTGTGAAGTACTTTGAGACTTCTCAGAGTTGTTATTAAACTGCTGTATGAAATATGAAGATTGTTATTTATTGTTTGTCAATCAGGTTAGTGGTAAGTAAGAGATAATGAAAGCAAAAAAAATGAAGATGAGTAAAATTAGCAAGTGTAAGAAACAAAGCAGAAAGGTAGAGAGAGGGAGTAAATTACAAATACTAAAATCCCAGAGCATAATTTCCTAGTACAAGAGAAGGAGAATATTGGATATTCAATTTTATCTACACTTTTTCTTACTGTCTATTCACTCGTAATTGTTAGGGCATTAGCAAATGAGTGGAGTAAACGTGTGTGTTAGGCAAGAATTGTCTAATCAATATCTGGAACAACTTACTTATTTTGAGTCTTTGGAGAACCATCTCACAGCACTTTATGGCATGAGATTAATTTGAAGTGAAGTGCATGTTGTTGGTAGGCAAACGTAGCAGCTAATTTACTTCAGCAACGTAGTAAAAACAATGGTGAGATAATCACCAAATGCTTTTGAATGTTTTTGACATGAATGTATGACAATAATAATCCTTGAATTTGATATAGCACCTTATAATTTTGTCGAGATGTCCCAAAGTACTTCACAGGCTTTATTGCAATATGTAGCGACTGTGTATTTTGTAGATGAACATGACATAAAATAGTGTCCCACAAACAGCCAGAAAATGAATCTGAGATTTTGTTTGGGGGATTTTTGGCCAGGACACTGATAAACTCGTTTCTCTTTTCGAACAGTGCTATGGAATCTTTAATATTTGCATGAACAGGCAGAGTGGACTTTAGTTTAATGTCTTATCTTAAGGATAGCATGTCTTACAATACAGCCCTCATCCAGTACTGATTCATCCAGTCCCAATGTGGGGCTTGAAACTATAACCTTTTGGTTAAGGTGGAAGGGCTACCAACTGATCAGACTGACACCTACATTTGGCTAAGGATGAAATACATATTCTGGAACCTCTGTGAGAAAAACAATTAATGATGATTTTAAATTTACTAAGGTTTCCCCTGTGTTTATTTAACAGTTTCCCTGTATGCCAAGTGAACCAATATCTCTAAAGTGGTACCTACCAACCTATAGTAAGGACACCACCCAAAGACATGATTTCCAGAGCTCTACTTGCAAGCCTAACCCACAAACAAGGCATGGTTGTAATCCACACAGATTTCCTACCTTTGGTATTGGTAAGCTCAGGTTTTGATGGAAGTCAGATATATTTTTATCATAACAATCCTTAAATTTGATATAGTACATTTCATGTCAGGAGAACTTTTCAAAGCACCTCACAGGATACACTGTGAAGTGTGATGACTGTGTATTTAATAATAATAATAATCCTTGCATTTGATATAGCGCCTTATTACGTCTTTGCGATGTCTCAAAGCGCTTCACAGAATATACTGTAAAGTGAATTGACTGTATATATTGTAGGCGAAACGTGGCAGCCAATTGCACACAGCAGTGTCCCACACACAGTCGTGGATTGAGTGACCACATTATTATTATTTTTGATGGGATTTATTAAACATTGAAGTGTTTAATTTGCACAGCAGTTACATCTTCATTTGTGGTGTACATCGTATTAACCTCCAGGTTCATTGAACAAGTCTTTACATTCCCCCTTGCCCAACACACATATATGTATCTTAACTCTATTTATTACCCTTTCTTTCAATACTACAATAACAACGACTTGCATTTATATAGCACCCTTCACCATAATAGCCTGTTGAAGCTATTGCTGTTAACTTTTTTAAAAAAAAATTGAGGCTGAGATCAAGTAGTCTTTTATCAGAGGAATTCTTAATGATTCTGCAATGCCTACATCAAGCAGAACACCAAAGTTGGATGTTGATTTTTGTTATAGCTTCAACTTGATGTGAAACAGGAAGTATATCCAGAGTTCCCACTGTGCTTGGCTCTACAGCAGGGAGCGGCCTCGCTCCCAGCAATACAAACACGGCTTAAATAGTGGAAATGTGACTTCATACTTGAAACTATTTAACAAAAGGAACATTTCCGTTTCTAGACCCACGTGATGTTTTGTCGACCATTTCAGGAAGGTCTTTTGTGATGTCCCAGGATGATTCACACAGTGCCATATCTACACAAGCCTCTTTATGCTTCAGCACTTGAAGCAATGGCCCCAGTCGTTCAGTTTTATAAGCTAAACCCCTTCCATTCCAAAATGGTTTAACAATTATGTAAAGCTTAGTCCTTAGTTTTATTTTTAGGTTCTATTTATCCAGGCATTTTAGAAAAGCCCCTTTACTTTGCTTTCAGACCTCACTGAAAGTAGCTCTCAAATTAATTGCCAAACAATAATGGATTTTCTGATACACTGAATGAGCTACAGCAGTTGGTTTTATAATCCAGTTTCTGTCACACTCAGATGAGAGCTAAATAATCCGACTTTTCAAAATATTGTCGCTCATAATAATAATCCTTGCATTTGATACACCTCCCTATCATTTTATCATCCAATCAAAATGTCTCAAAGGGTTCAAAGTAGTTACTGTATATTTGTAAGCAAAGCAACAGCCAGGCTGCACACTGCAGTGTCCCATAAACAGCCATGATGTGAGTGACACTCTTTTATGTGGGGGATTGTTGTCTAGGAGACCAGAAGAAACTCCCTTTCCTTTTTGAATAGTGGCACGGGATTATTAACGTCCACTTGAACAAGCAGACAGGACATTGGTTTAAGGTTTCATCCAAAGGACAGCACCTCCTACAATGCAAAACTTCTCCAGCACTGCTCTGCACTGCAGTGTGAGTCTCTAGGCTATAAGCTAAAAGTCCCCACAATATAAAGTGATGGGGGGGAGGGGAAGCAGGGGGAGGAAATTGTCACATCACTTACCGCAAATTTACTCCACACATTGTGATATAGAAATAAAATGTTTCATTTTTATTGTCCTTATTGTGTCACTGTGTTCAAGGTGCTTCACCGTTAGTTACTATCAAGTGCAATAACTGGTTTGTAGGCAAATGCCACGACAATTGTATCCCCACTATATGCTTAGGTTTAACACAGCAGTTAAATAATGCCATCATGGAACCCTGAAATACTAATTATTGGAAAATAGATCCTAGTAATGTATCCTAGTAATGTTTCAATATGATTTACAGCACCAATGCCCTATGTCTGATTTGAAACAGTTTTCACTACCCCTGCAGGTCTGATATTTAATACTTAGCATAGTACAGATACGTTTATCACTCGCAAGAAAATGCCTCAGAAGTGGAGTCATTCGTGAGATTGTAGACTTCAATTTGGGTCAGAATATCAATCAGCAATATTTACAAAGTACCTCCAATATTGACAATATATGGTTGTGATGGGAAGGCAAAAGGATGAGGAAAACAGAAGGTAATTATTTTAATCTAAAGAGTGTCTGAATCCTGCATTATACAGTACAATATTGATTCCTGATGCATGTGTGCAGCAAACCCTGAGGCGTTACATTGAATCGGTCAACCTATGTGTGTAACAAACCCACTGATGTTACATTGTACAGATGAAGTTATATTAATGGACTCTTAGCAGAATGTTTGCAACTGCAATATTGTTGCAGAAAGATATTATTTAGAAATTTCAAATGACAGATGTTAAACTGTGCCGTCTTCATTGAATATATTGATGAGCTCAGTGCACTCTCAACACTATAGAGTCTACAGCAAGAAAGTTACATTGGAAACATTCTTCTGGTATATGCAAAATATATAATTTTAATTTTTGTAACTAATTTTGCCTCCTTGTCTCTCATTCATCCTCTCCTGAAAATGCTGGATAGGATTTCAATGGTCCTGTTCTGCCCTTGGACGTAGACATAAATGTAATTGATATTATCACTAAGTAAAACAAGGTAACAACAACAACAAAATTACATTTATAGAGCACCTTTCACGTCGGGAGAATGTCCCAAAGCACTGAACAGTCAGGTGTCGGGGCCCGAGCATGGGGGAGGGGTGTTGTAGGGGTGAGGGAAGGCAGAGAGGTGGGAGGGAGACCAAAGGCACGATCAAAGGGAAGGGTCTTGAGACCAGCCTTGAAGGAGGCAAAGGAGGAAGCGAGGTGAAGGGACCGTGGGATGGAGTTCCAGAGTGTGGAGGCAGAGAGGCTGAAAGCCCGGCCACCGATGGTAGGGCGGGTCGGGCGGGAGACATGGAGCAGGCCAGAGCCCGATGAACGGAGGGAGCGGGCAGGTTGGTAGGGAGTCAGCAGGTCAGAGAGGTAAGAGGGGGAAAGCCCATGGATGGCCTTAAAGGTGAGGAGGAGGATCTTGAACTCGATCGTCTGAGGGATGGGGAGCCAGTGGAGTTGGACGAGGGTGGGAATGATGGGATCACGGAGCCTGGTCCGTGAGAGTACACGAGCTGCAGCGTTTTGGATGATCTGCAGCCTTTGAAGAGTTGGGAAGGCCGATGAGGAGAAAGTTCCCATAATTGAGCCTCTATGTGACGAATGTGTGGATGAGGGTTTCGGCAACCTGAGAGGTGAGGCAGTGACGGAGTCTGGCAATGTTGCGGAGGTGGTGGTAGGCAGCGCTGGTCATGGCGCAGATGTGGGGGAGAAAGGACTGTTCAGGGTCAAACAAGATACCGAAGTTCCTGACTGGCTTAGTGAGGTTGAGTGTGCAGCCGTGGAGGCTGATGCTGCCAGCGCCTGAGGTGCGGAGACACTGGAGCGAGCTAATCAGGAGGGCCTCAGTCTTGCTGATGTTGAGTTGGAGAAAGTTGTCCCTCGTCCAGGACTTGATGTCGGACAGGCAGTCGGTCAGGACGCCAGTAGTCCTGGAGTTCAGGGTGGAGGCAGAGAGGTAGAGTTGGGTGTCATCCGCATACATGTGGAAATTTACCCCATGTCTGCGGATGACGTCACCAAGGGGGAGCATGTAGAGGGTGAAGAAGAGGGGATCGAGGACAGAGCCCTGAGGAACACTGCACAAGACATTGCAGGGGCTGGAGGAGAAGCAGTTTTCCGCGACAAAGTGGAGGCAGTGTGAAAGGTAGGACTTGAACCAGTCAAGGACAGAACTTTGAAGGTTGAGGTAGGAGGACAGGCAGTGGAGGAGGATTGAGTGGTCCATAGTGTCAAAGGCGGTGGAGAGGTCAAGTAGGACGAGGAGGCAGAGGGAGCCCTGGTCACACATGGTCAGGATGTCGTTGTGATCTTGACCTGTGGGCAGCACGGAAACCCGATTGGAGGGGTCTTTGACGAGGTAATAAGGATGGTAACTAAAGGCATTGATTGTTGCAGCTTTTACCACAGCTTCGCAGCTCGATAACAAGATCACAAGAGAGGTTTGGATTTAGCCCATCCAATCTCATCTCATTTAGATTACTAAAATGTTGGGCTGAATGTGGGCTCATTATCACCACTGCTAAATGACCTGACAATGTCACCATATTGAGAATTACTTCACTGTATCCAAAGGTAAAAACAGAACATTTAAACAGGAACATTTTAAAACCTTTTTCCACTGGGTCTGCTCATACCCTATTGACCAAAAGAGTTAGGTTTTAGAATTGACAAGTGCTCAAGTAGTTTTAAAATCAGATATTCAGCCTAAACAATCAACCATTGTTTGTTGATAACAGTGTCTATTGGGCTAAGAGTTCCAACTTTTGTGAAATCACAGGCTGTTTAAGAAATGTTTATGCCAAAGGAAGACAGCCTAGAAAACAAGTTCATCTCTTATTATGCTGTATGCATCAACAACTCAGAAATATTGTTAATCATACCTTGTAGCATTTGGATCTAACTGGTCATGAACATTTAAAAACCCTCAACATGTATTTAAAACTGCCTTAGCAGAATTCTTATCAGCGTTTGGTATTCCACTTCCTTTAGATCTATCATGAGAGCCGTCTTTGTTTAATTCAGTATAGTTACCAACACTGGCTTGATTCCACAGTGAAATCAATTGGTATCTCTGTTTCTCCATGTAACTACGGCTTTGTCTTTGGAGAATGCAATTTCTGCTTTTGTCCCGACTATAAAATTGGCTCATTTATAGTGAATTTACTGAAATTATTATAAAAATCCCTTTGGGCATGCATATATGGTAAATGACCAATACTTTGTTTTATTAGATGTTTTGCTGCAAGTTGAAGACTGACTGACTGTGGAGACACAGAATTCCTCTAGTGACAAGTTAAATTTACAGCTGACCAACGA